GAATTTCTTAATTGATCGAACGAACACTAGTCAGTATTTGGGGGACTACATTGTACGTACATTGCAATCGCACGTGTGTCGCTGTCATTCATTCTGTCATTCAACTCAAACCTCGCATTGGTTTGATAATGGCAGCCTTTTGTACACTAATGCATGTAAATCAGTTTTGTATGACTTGAGTCATTTTTCATGACTCGGGCTCGACTCAAGTCACATTGGATGACTCGGACTCGACCACAATGACTCGTACTTAAGCTTGGTGACTCGTGACTCAAGTCATGTATTTTCATTCAACATATTTATCATATACGCCCTGGAAAATTAATTTGTAAGCACATTTTCATTAAACATATTTATCATATACGTCCTGGAAAATTAATATGTATGCACCTGTGCTATCACTGGTTTGCATGCCTGGAGCTTCATCGCATTGCACGTTTTCCAATTCGCCCATTTATGTATGGCTAAATACCCACTGATGAGTCAACCAGACGTGTCATATTCTTTATCAGCAAACTGTGTGGCGGTGATCAGACTATGCGCTGGGCGTACATTTGTTATTTACTTGTATGGATGTACATACTCAGCCTCATAGTCTCCAGAACCAGTTGCAAATATGAACACTTTTAGCAAAATGGTCAGGCTCGCATGTAAATGAAAAATGCGTGGCCTGCGCTGGACGTGTGAAGTTACTTGGGCCTGGGCGAAGTGGTTGTGGTGTTGGTATGGGCGTTTTCGAAATGACTGGATTCAGCTTAGACTTTGGTCTCGCTGGTTCCATCCATTTTGAAGCTGCATTCGAAACTGCAGCTTTTGTACCCATAGCTTTTGCAGTGTATGAAATTAATCAGCATAAACAAAATAGCACACAGCGAACTTACAACTTTGATCATGGATGTCCTTCCATAGTTTGAATAATTGGCTGAACAACTTGATTCATGACTTGTGACTCGTGAGTTGGACTCGGACTCAAGGTTTGTGACTCATGACTTGGAGTCAAGGTGTGTGACGCGAGACTCGGACTCGAGGCTTTAAACTCAGGACTTGGATTCGGCATTGTTGAGTCGGATAACATCGATGTAAGTGCACCTAAAATGAGTTTCGAGATCCTAGTTTTGGTGTAAAACTCTCTTGTTCTGAGGGCGGGATGGTCAGTGTAATCAACGAGAAGTCTTCCAAAAGTTGCAGCGTCCACGCTTCACTGCTGCAGCTTGGTTCTAAGTGTGCTGACTTCAATTTCAGTGAAACATTGTGTGACTTCTTACATCATCAAAATGTTTTGAAAATGAGCATGTGTCTGGTTTCTGTGGGCAGTGATTAATTTAGGTGGGAGAAATGGCTAGCGCTGGAGTCAAACAGCATGTGGGTGAGTGTGTGTGAGCGTGATCATGTGAATCTCGATTGGGAAATTACATCCTAGCAGATGCTCAGTGGGGTACTTAAGGATGCATCTATCGTTGCCGTGATGGATAGGTACACGCGGTCCCTTTGGTACCGACTGGCTACAAAGAAAGAAAAAGTGACACTTGTAAGGGGGCAGAGGACAGCATAATCAACTTCATCAAAGTCTGCGCTGTGCCTAAGCCAAATTATGATTTAAGAGCCGCTGCTGTCGTATTTTTACCCGCATCATCGCTGGATGAAGAGTCTGAAATTAGGTCAATGCGGCACGTCTGCACCGGCGCGTGCAAAGATTCCGCCTCCCCTGAGGAATACAGCATTTCCTGGGCCTGTATGCGATAATTGATGTAGCCCGCTCTGTATTGTTGGTTGGCAGTCAAGGCAGAACAGCATCCCTCTATCTCCCGACTCGTTGCCGCAGCGCTGGGGACTGTGTTCCTTGCCGCCAACACCTTACAATATGCCAGCATGCATTTTTTTTTTTATATTCATCTGCTAAAGCGGATCAATGGGACAGATTGTGTTTCAGGGTTTAGGGCCCAGCTTGCTCTATATATTTGATGAATTGGGAGAGGATGGAGAATGGTACTAGTATATAGAGAACATGTCTGGCACACCTGACATTGGAGTTGAGATGTTGGGATAAATTCCTACATGTACTTTCATGACAATAGGCACAGGGGAAGGGTTTGCTATAATGCACTTTACAGTGGTCACTTAGCATGAATACATTTTTATACAGTCCAATGTACAGTGTACCAATGCTGGTTCAGACTTGTGCATACATTGTATGTACAATATGTGGACATGTGCATGTATGTAATGCATTGTCTACTTACATGGAAATGGATTTTGGACCGCTTACCGGTACTTGGTGTTGCCATTTCGAAGTTAGCATTGTTAATCCAAGTCTTGCATGAAACAGTGATAGTTTGGCCGGACCACACTGTGCAGTAGTGCTCCCATCAGACTTGATTCCCATCAAACTACGGGTACATGTACCTGTACATTGTTGAAATGAACATGTAGATTCATGTACATCCAGCGTAGCTTGAAAACCCATATACATGTATAATACATCTAGCTATGATGGGCGGTTTCACTTGCACACATGGACACACATACATGTACATGTACATAAAGTACATGTATTTACATGTACCATAGTGCTAGTTCTTTCAGTCGGTGCTGGTGTAAAAGCTTCATTCATTGCAAAACAGCAGGCTTGAAGTTTATAGAAAGCGGATCACTTATTTTACCCCCCCCCCATCTTGGCATCAGCCCCACACTGCTTTCAGTCTCACCACCTCCCCCCAAGCATAATACATGAGAGAGGCTGCCTTCTACTCAGCCCCAGTAGAGAGTCTGTAGTATTAAGGGCACTGCTTGAAGCGGCCAGCTCTTTCTGCCCCTCTCTCACTCTCTCTCTCTCTCTAGACTCAGCAATCTGAATTTCCTAACAAACATTGATTGCTACTTGTACTGCTCCATAACCTGGAGGAATGCAAAGGGGGGAGAGCCAAATTTAGAGGGGGAATAAGAAAAGCATGTTGAAACTCGGTCCAGCCCCCCCGACAGACTTTTTCTTTTTTTTTTTGGTTAAGGCGGTGCTGATTTTACTAAAAAAAGAAGGAAGGAAAAAAATCTTGGTGTGTGCCAAAGCCAGAGCGCGCAGGGATCGATTCAGGTCAGATTTCGGTGCTAGTTTTCAAATTAACCCTCTGAGGGCCTCGGGGTAGCTCATATGCTGGGGCGGGTTGTTTGGGGAACAATGTGCAGGGGAGACTCGCGCAGCTCAACAAGAGTGCAGGTGTTGATGGGAAGCGATAACACCCCCAATTTCTTTCTTTCTTTTTTTTTTTTTTTGCCAGCTTTAATTTTGTTCTATTCGAAATTGACGGAAAGAGCCGTGCCTGTATTTGCACAGTGCCAGACCTTTTTTTTTTTAAAATGCAAGGAGGATTTTACTCTGTGGAATGGGAACATTTGTAGATCATTGGGTCTGCCACATCCCCCTTCTTTGAAAGAAGCACAGCCTTTACGTTTGAAGTTTCCGAAAGGCCTTTTGTCACCACCGACTTTTTTCCCTGCCCCCATTTGATCCCATCATTGTGAAGTGTAAAGCCAGGCGACGTAGTTCTCAGCACGCCATGTACACAACTGGGTCAGCTTTGTGTCCATAAAGTTGAAAAAGGGGGGGGGAGGAAGAAATTAGGTTAAAGATTGTTCTTATTTTTGTAGAATTCTATGGCAGCTTTGATAGACTGTTGCAGGTCGCAGATCCCCCAATTCATTGTGAACCAAGTGGGGGTTCCTGTGTTGGTTTTGCCTGAGACGGGGTTTGTATTTCTTATTGTTACAGTTTTATTTTATTCCTGAGGAGGGGAAAAACCTTACAATAAGAGAAGGAATTCAAAGCAAGTTTAATATGCTACCTTTCTACAGTCTCACAGATTTCAGCAGTAAGAAATTATACATAGGTGAACGTGTGCACATTTAAAGCCTGCCTGCTACGGAACCTTGAACATACATGCATTATTGGATAGGTTTCTCATTGTCAGATATGCCTACAGAGTAGAGTTCATAAAATTCAGGAACAGAAAGGTGGACATGCACACATAGAAAAAAATTAAAATGTGAATGAGTACATTGCCTGCTCATATGTAACTATAAGAGATATCTTAAACACTGGTCACCCTCTCCTCAGAAACACAGTATTCTCCAGATGTATATTTTCAAGCCCTTTGTACCCACTTAAACTATTCTCTCTCCGGTCGCGAGTGGCCAGGCGACCAGCCTAGCGTTAGCCAATAAAAGAAGCCCCACTTAAGCCAAACAAGAAAAGTGCTGGTCAACACCACCAAGGCTACATTGTTTTCTGGCCAGGCTGGTGTGACCGTTGGTGACCATTGATAAGGAGATGGGGGTCCATTGTTGTTCTTTGCCCCTCTCCTCCTGTGGTGTTTACCAGGTTTTGTCCTCTTAAAAAGACTGGAAAAAAGAATATCCCTGCCTGGACTTTGAAGGTTCCTTGAAGGCCAATGGATCCAGTTTCAGATCCAGATGAATAGGGCTCTAGATTTTTTTGTTTTGTTTTGTTTAGCTGTGCAGTAACGGTGCAGTTAGTGAAAGGTTGTGTAAACTATGCCGGTGTTAATTAAAGGGAGCATGTCAATTCTGAATCAACTGATTTAACATAATGTTAGCATTCATACATATCTGTGTTCATTATCAGTTTTCGTTATGAGTGTTAATCATTTTTTTCTTTGGACCTGTGCGGGAAGATACTGACCTACATATATATCACTATGGACGTGCTGTATTTTGAAACCCAGTTTTAGACAGTATCAAAGAAAAATTTATGAATGACAGTGGTGTTTGTAAGTGTAGAAGATGCCTTCATTCAAGCTAAATGTAAAATTAAATACACTCTACCCGTACATTGAAGGAAAAACAAATTAATCTCTACATGTAGGTCAACTCTCCACTTCCTCCAGAACATACATGTATCCTACCTTTATTTTTGATATTCAGTCAATGTGGCAACAATTTCTCATAGGATCTGCATTCTCTCTCCTTTTCCTCTCTTCTTTGTTCAGAGACCACAATGAGATTGAGTACATACCACCGGGCTCCATGGACGGGTTTGTCAGCCTCCGCAAGCTGGATTTAAGTTACAACAATATAGCTAACATCACTGCCGGCGTGTTCCCCTCCCAGAGCAATCTCCACCGTGTGTAAGTTGCAGATCTCCGTCCGTCCCTGAGATCCTGTTGACTGTAGATGATGGCAAAACATACAAACATACAAGTATCCGGGTCTATGGTATAGGGCTTCAAAATAGAATTTTTCCAAAACCGACTGCAATTTTTTTTTTCATCTGTAAAAGAATAGTCATACATGCACATACATTGTACCCAGCCACCCCCCAAATATGGAAGTACGTGTACATGTAGTACTGTTGGCAACATGTATGCATATAAATGCATGTATGCAGTACCGGCTTTGTAGTGCTAAGTTCAATTGTGGGCCCATTATCAATCAGTAGTCAGTTTTGCATTTAATCTACATGTTGTATATGTGTACAATGTATATATACATGTACATGAAATTCATTCTAAGTACATGTACAGGTAAAATCAATTTGTAGTTGACAAATGGTTGCCCATCAAACTTGGCTTAGAAAAAGACAGTGGCATCAGGAGATCAGCAGGGCTTGGGTGGGTAGGGTGTTTTTTTTAAAATTTATTTAGATGCAGTGATTGCAGCTTGAGACGTCTGGGCCTTTGAATTTCATGTAATACCAAGCTGTAACTTTGGTTGAGTAAATTACTACATTTACACCAAGCAACAATAATGCAAGGACCAGTGGCAAGCAGTACTCTCAGCATTCATCTTGTTGTGGCCGGGAGCCTGTTCTCGCTAAAGCAAGCATCTGGGCGGCTGGTTACATTTCTGTGCTTACTAGCCAGCTCCATGACACTGTAATCATCTTAGTGCGTGCACTGTTGAGGGCGCTTTATGAAACAGGAGGGTATTTCAGTTAGTTTCATGCACAAACGTAAAAGTGGCAAGGTTCCATCTGCACCAGGCTTATCGGAGGGCATTTAGGCCTATGCACAAAGGCCATTCAGTTTGGGGCGCTTTTGCGGAAGTACCCCTTTAGGCCCTATAGTAAAGGGACCAAAGTGATATAACAGAACTACCGGTACATACATGTAATGCACACGTACAGATTCAATACGCCATCCATGTACATGTACATTTATGCACGAGCATTAACCATTCAGTGGTCACATACAATGTCCTCCTCACTGTGAGTCTTTGACAAAGGGTAACAGTGCAATTTTCATGTACTGTTGCTGGTCCACCCATACATGTATTCTGAATGACAAACTTCAATGTGGATGAACATGTACAAAATACCCCCCCCAGCTGATGCTGTTTTTTTTTCAAAGTTAGACCGTGTGAAATTTTCCGTAGAATCCCTCAACTTCTGCAAATGATGCTGTTGTGTCTGCTCTACCCTTACCTCACCACCTGCGCACACTATCAAGCCCAGTTGTACTGGGATTAGATGCACATTTATATTCACTGTCAATTTCCCCCCCCCCCAAAAAAAAAAACAACCCTGAAGTGTCTCACAGATGATGGATGGCCACTCCGTATTCCTCTGACAGACATGAAATTTGTTTGCTGGGTGAGAGCGCTTTCACAAATTAAATTCTTCCCCCTGCTATTATCCAAAAATCCTTACAGGGAAACAACTGTGAGAGAGTTCCAGGGACAACAATAGTAGAAAAAGTAGGCAGTAAAGAGAAATCTTTGCAAAAAAGCTTTTTGCAATTACATGCTTCAGAGATTGTGAGATGTCATGTTTCCCGACTTTTTATAAAAAAAAAGGACAGAATTCATGACGCAGCTGCCCTTGGCCCTTCTACTTAAACAGCAAACATGAAAGTATCCAGACTGTTTTAGTTGTGTGCATTTAGGGGTACCATAGTGTGGGACCCAGATACCCCATTCTAACAATGGATGGGTGTCCAGGTACAGGTACCTGTCATTATTATGAAAATAATAACAAAAGCATGGTAGTTGAGTATTTTCCACCCATCCCCACCCACTCTATTGCTAAGGTGCTGAATTGAGCCCAGCGCTGACAAGCTCACTGGCGTGTATTCAGGAACTGAACTTGCTCAGGACTTCTTTGGAACTTAAATTTTAGTTTGAAGTGTGGAATAAAATAAAGTAATATCTTGACAATTCCAAGTTCTGGGGGGGTACAGCTTAAAAATCGAGTTATCCGAATTTCAAGCTCACAAAAGTTCTCGCGTCATGGAGTCATACCAGGCCCTCAGCCTGTCATGACTAGTTCTTTCTGTTGATTCATGTGCAATCTAACTCATCATTAAATGGACTCAAAACATACATGTATGTGCAAGGATAGTGATACTAAACGTATCGAGACATTCCGTAATATGCGCTATATAAGAACTGACCATCATAATTATTATTTTACTCAGATTTTTTAAATAATTTATCGGCAAGTAAGCAAAGGAAAAGGGTGCTTGCCTTTCTGAAATGTTGTGCTGACATTTACAGGGGCAGTTGCAAGTAATAAAATCGACAAACTGGAACCGGCAACCTGTAATCAGCGGTCGGGTTGCAGGTACTCTAAACGGCCCTGAACTGTTTTGTACGCTAGGCCTACATTGTAATTTGTTACAATTTACTGGTAACCTCAGAAAGAGTGTAGAGGTTCCTTACAGCTGAATTTTTGTGTGTCTGTTTGATTTGCAGATACCTGAACAACAACCAGATATCCCTGCTAGCTCCGGGCTGTCTGGACAACTTGACTTCCCTGCAAACGCTCAACCTGGAGAAGAATCGCATTGACTTCCTTCCTAGTGAGCTGTTCCTGCAGCTACGAAAGTTGGATATCCTGTAAGTGTAGAATGGGTTCCGGGGGAGGGGGAGGCACATTTCAAGCCTGTGAATTGGTTTTGAGTTGAAGGAAAGAGGGAGATAAGTTGGAGGAAGCATAAAGTTCATAGTTCTTTTTGAGTTATTTTTGTTAATTTTTTTAAACGGTGTGAAAACCTGTTTGCAGTGAGTCAGGTATTTTGCTGTGTGCATACCTCATCTTTAGAAGCGGTACTTGTCCCAAGATATAGCAGTTCTCTGGTTGCCGTGTGGTAAGCCATTTTACATGTATGTCTTGCTTGTGGACACAGGCAGCGTTCATTCGATCTGTTACATTTGTTCTCTACAGTGCTAAATTCCGGTATTTAAACCATATAGTACCTGCAAGATGAGAACTTGTGATAATCCTAAGGAGTTTGTAGTTACCACAATCAAAGGAGGCTGGTAAACTGCAGTCCACTGGTAAACTGGAGTTTTGGAGATGCAGGAACCTATACATTGCAATTTCCGTTTCTTTTCCGCTCATTCCGTTTATACTGTTCAAGGAAGCGCATTGGTATTGGCAGTGTTTTCATTCGAACTCAGGGGAAAAAAAGCCGGGACAATGACCCAATTCAAATTCTTCTGGGTTATGTGTCAATGTCATGACAACATGACCGAGTTTCCTGCCTCTTCCCAAGCTAATGACAACCAGACCTCCAGAGCCCTGAAACCTGGTAAATGGGGAAGTGTGAAGATACGACCCAAGAGATTTTATTATGGTAGAGCTGGCAGGTTGTCATTGCTGTGGTGGTAGTTAGGGGCAGGCGACCTCAATTCCAAGAAAAAAAACTTGTTTCTTGTACATTTTATTTCCCCCCCCCAAAAAAGATGCCCTCCTATTTTGTTGCCAAATAAATTTATCTTGAGTGTAACCATCAAATCCCCCATAAGATTTTTACATGAAACGAAAACAGAGAGTTGTACTAAAGTTGTACTGAGTTTTATTATCTGTTGGAGTGCTTTTCGCTTCTCAAAGTATAAATGACACAAAAGACTTTCATTTGATGGCTTCTTAAAGAAATTTGTCAATCAGCTTTGATTCTTTGGTTTTCAGTAGGATTTTCTGTTTTACTTCTAAATATAATGTTGGTCTTATACGAACCACACTATTGTTTACTTACAGTATTTAAATGATAGGCCCTACATGTACACGTACATGTACATTTTGTCACTTTCAAAGCTACGTACATGTAGTTCATGACATGAAGAAAATGTTACCAGGGTATGCAATTCATCATGTGTCCCAGGTAACTGAAGTTCATTACATGTGTGTTACGTCTTCATCATTCCAAACTCTTGAACTGCTGTGACATTCCTGTTAATATACAGACAGTTCTTCGTACTCAGAGTGTAGAGTAAGTATTCAGGCATCAGATATTGGATAAAAGGGAGGGACCAGTCCAGATCCTGTCAGTCAGGAGCCATCACCAGTTCCAAATTACCCTCATGCTAATTTGAACCATAGAGCTGTTCTGCCCAGAACAGCCGCAGAATGCATTACCATTCCAGCCTGGGAATCGATGGAATAGTTACCCTCGTGATAGGGACATGTGTAAGGGCAGGGCTCACGGGCTGTTCTCTTTCAACAAAGCTGTGTCGGTGTACAAATAGGAGCCTATGATCTTTGACCTCTCCAGAGCCCCCTGACCGGGTAAATGGCGAAGCCAGATGCTTGAAAGGGGGGAGGGAGAGACAGAGAAAGTTGGCTGGATTTACTATACAGCCCCTGGGCGCTAAAGACCTCGGCTGGATCTCAGATCAGGGATGTATGAATTATTTCTTTGTTGTCTAACTTAAATCCATAAAAAGTATGAAAAGTGCCTCTTCCTGGAAGTTGTTGGACCAAGTCGCATGGGGCAAATTTTAAGGCCAATTTGAAGAAACAGAAGAAACCGAGGTGCTGGTGGAGGAACCCTGGCATATTTTTTTTCATGTTAAAAAAAAAGGGGCACTACGGGTACATGTAGTTCCTACACTTTGTTAGGGCATTGCTTGGAAGCATTTGCCCTTTAATTAATATGGCC